ACCACCGGGGTTTTCGGTGGAGCTCCTCATGGTGCAACGAAGAGTGTGAGGGGTGTGCCGACATGAGCGCGGTGCCGCCATGCAAACGCAACCACTGGGGCCCTGGGTGGAACTCCCCATGGGGCCACGGTGCGCGTGAGGGGTGCGTCGAAGCTGGTGCGGCTGCGTCGTGCGTCCGCAGCACGGGGGCCTTCCGCGGAGCTCCCTCTGAGGCCACGAAACGAGCCAGGGGTGTGCCGAAGTGGGTGCGATGCCGCCATGCGAATTCAGCCACGGGGGCCTTCGGTAACGCTCCATAGTGAGGCCACGATGCGTGAGGGGTGTGTCGAATCTGTCACGGTGCCGCCATACGAACGCAGCCACTGGTTCCTGCAGTGGAGTTGCCTATGGGCCCACGAAGCGTGCGAGGGGTGTGCCGAAGTGGGTGCGGAACCACTGTGCGAACGCAGCCACTGGGGCCTTCTGTGGAGTTCGCTAACAGGGCTACGGGAAGTGTGAGGGGTGTGCCAACATGGACCTGCTGCGGGCGCGGGCAGGGATGGGAGGGAGGGGGGGGCAGGAGAGGCGGAGAGAAAGAGGGCGCGGGGCGCTGCCTGCTCAAAACGAGGACCGAACACCACAGGCTGGCTGGGAACAAACCATCAGATCTCTGAGCAGCACGCGGGGGAGACCGGGCGGAAGAGAAGAGGGCCTGCAGGGCAAGCTGCCAACTGCCACCAGGAGGAACGCTGGGCAGGGAAGGGAGGAGGCAGACCTCCCGGGGCCCCCGGAGGCGGGCCCGAGGAGCGCTGGGAGGAGCCTCCACGCCAGGACCCCAAGGCGCAGCGAGCCCCTCTCGCGATCCCGCGAGAGGGCTCCGAGAGTGAAGCGTCTTGACCGTGTCGAGGGTCGAAGGCCTGCGCGTCGTGGAGCCGCTGTGGGCCCCCGGGGGGAGGCCCCAGCGGAGACCACCTGGGGCCCTCGGGGAGCTCCAGGGCCCCAGACACCCGACGGACTCATGCCTTCAGTCCTCGGGCCTCCTCCTCCTCCTCCTCCTCCTCCTCGACCTCCTCCTCCTCCTCCTCCTCCTCCTCCTCCTCCTCCTCCTCGACACCTTCCCTGGGGGTGCGAACGTTCGCCGCGGGGGCCGAAGTACAGGAAACCACTGCATCCCAAAGTCAATCCGCCCGATGCCTGATGGCCGGCCAGGAACCTCCCCGACTTGGTCGGAGAGGCAGATGGCTACGCCGATCCTGGGCCCGGGATGGGCCTGGCCGGGGGCGGTGACTATGTACCCAGACATCCGACGGTGCGAGTTTCTCGTCGCACGGCGGTAGTTTCCCGTCTGGGATCAATCGCTCATGGCCCCGGGGCCAGATGATGGGCCCCCGCAGTCCGAAACCTGGGCAGACGCTGGGATTGAAACAAGCATACCGTCGGAGAGCTGGCTACTTGAGAGTCCCCGGGTTTGCCAACGGCCTTGGCACACAGACGACCTTCAAGAGCCACGCCGCCAACGCCGACAATGTTTGGACGCTGCCGAGAAACGCCAGCTATCCAAGTTGGTTGCGGGCGGTACGAGGAAAGCGCCTCGGGAATGGCAGACAGAGGAAGTCCGTGCTCAACTCGAACGCTTTTCCGATATGAAGAAACTTTCTGCCATCTTTACGGAGCCCGTGAAGGGCAAATCTGCCCTGCGACCTGACCCGGAGGCTTTCGCAACCATGTTAAAGGACGTCTACTCTTCCGAGGCCAGCGCGCCGTTCCCCGAAGACTCTTCGCAGCTACAGCGTATACCAGGCATCACGCCCAGAGAACTGCGGGCAGCTCTCAAATCAATGGCCAGCAGACGGTGTGCTGACAAGCATGGTGTCATGCTGGAAATGTTTCGCCATGCTGGCCCACTTGCGCAATCCGTCCTGGTTGCGTGCTTGAATCATGTCGTGCACACGGGTGCCTTCCCCAACGACTGAAGCGAGCTGTTGTATGTCATGATTCCCAAGGCGGGCGATACTCTGGACCCCAAGAACTGGAGGCCAATTGCTATCTTGGATATTGCATACAAGGTCCTGGACAGAATCTTGCACGACCGCCAAGGCATTCTTGGAGCCTTGCCAGCCGCCAGATCAATTGGGGGTTCGATTCGCCACTGGGACCGATCATGCGCTCTTGATACTTGACATCGTCATTCAGAATTCCATTGAATTTGATTCGCCCGTCTGGATTGTGAGCATCGATTTGACTAAAACCTTCGACAGGATTGGGCACTCTGCACTATTCGCTGCCAGGACAGAACAAGGCGTTCCCGCCGAATACCGCACGTTGCTGCAATGCTTGTACACGGATCAACGTGGTTCTGTGGATAACTGTATGTTCGACATAGAACGTGGAGTCAGACAGGGTGATGTCATCAACCCGATGCTCTTCATCTCTGCGCTGGAAGAAGTAATACGCAGGTGGAAGGCTCGGCTTGGCAATCACGGTATTGTGCTCAGTCCAGAAAACGAGAGACTGACCAACGTCAGGTATGCAGACGACCTGCTGCTTTTCACTCAGTCACTTGAGGACGCAAGCGTTCATGATCGATTGCCTCGTGGAGTTGAGCAGAGCTGGCTTGTCTGTCAATGCGCGGAAGACGAAGATCTTGACGACAGATTTCGATGTGGCAGCAGACGTGTCCCCACTTTTTCTCGATGCCGGAGGTGGGATGGTCGATGCTGCCAAGCGTTCGGACACTCACAAATACCTTGGCCGGCTATTGTGCGGCGACTTGAGGATGCGAGGCATGTGCAACCTGGACCATCGGATGAAGTGCGCTTGGCTGAAATACCATTAATTTGCCGCAACCTTTCAAAACCGCAACGTTCCGACCACATTGAGGTTGCGCCTGTTTGACTCCGTGGTGACGCCGTCCGTTCTCTACAGTCTGGCCACAACACCTCTCACTCGGAAAGAGCTTGACAGTCTGGACGCGCTGCGCAGGAAAATGTCGCGGCGCATTGTTGGATGGGTTCGCTTTGACGACGGAGCATGGCAGCTTACTGGTCATCGCATGAAACGCCAGTTGGAAGCGGCATTGGCACAACATCCTATTGAAGATTCCAGTCTTCGGCGCAACGGACAAAGAGATTCGATAGTACAACACCTCGAAGACGGACTTCTCTCACAATTGTGTTCACTATCGTATAATTGGCGATTGTGCCGGGCGCGCAGCCGCGGCAGACCACGCCAGAGGTGGACCGACTGAACCAGCGCTGGTCTACGAGGCATTCTTCGTGAAGGTCCCCACGAATGAGATCTGAAAGTTCCCTCTAGGTCGCCCCCCTCTGCCCCCCTCCCCTCCCCTCCCCCCTTCTGCTTCCGCCCCTGCTTACCTCAGCAGCAATCCATGTCAGACGATCGCAGATTGGCCGTGTGCCGGAGGCACGGGCCAACATTTTCCCCCCGAGTTCTAGATTGGCACGGCCTTCGGGCCGAGCGGGTGTAGCGTAGCGTGGAGGGTCCCGGCAGGCAGTGTCAGCTGTGGTCATGGATGACGAAGATGATGATGATGATGATGATGATGATGATGATGCTGATGATGATGATGGTGATGGTGATGGTGATGGTTATGATGATGATGATGATGATGATGATGATGATGATGATGATGATGATACTGATGATGATCATCATGGTGCTGATGATGATGATGCTGATGATGATGATGATGCTGATAATGGTGATGATGGTGGTTGTGGTGGTGATGGTTATGATGATGACGACGACGATAATGAGATTTGTGATGGGGAAGATCGTGTTGATGGTGGCGATGATGATGATGATGGTGATGATGATCCTGGTGATGATGATGATCGTATGTGATGATGATGGTGACGATGACGATGACGCTGGTGATGACAATCATGCTGATGGCGATGACGATGACGATGACGATGATGATGAGGATGATGCTGACGATGCAAATAATGATGAGTATGATGATTTACGTGGTGATGATGATGGTGATGGTGACGGTGATGGTCGTGATGACAATGGTGCTGATGGTGATGGTGGTGAAGATGGTGCAGATTATGAGGATGCATGTGGTGATGATACTGGTAATGCTGATGACGATAAACACGCATACCATGATTATGAAGATAATGATGGTGATAATGATGATGGTGGTGGTGATGACGATGATGATGATGATGAAGCTGATAATGATGATGATGGTGGTGGTGATGATGATTATGGTGATGGTGATGATGATGATTATGATGATGATGACGATGATGATGATGATGATGATGATGATGGTGATGATGATGGTGGTGATGATGATGATGGTGCTGATGATAATCGTGATGGTGCTGATGATGATACTGATGATGATGGCTTTCGTCGTGAGCGCTAGGCCTGGGACGATCGCGTGCCTTTAGTGGCTCTCTGGGACCCTGCCTACCCCAGAAGAGCCCTTGGTGGCAAAGCGGGTTGAGCCCAAATGCAGCATTACATGCCAGCCGGGGGGCACAAACCCCGCCCCTCCAGCGCACGAGACAGAAAGAAAGAGAAAACCACACCATCAACGTCATCAACATCATCATCCCCGCCTCTGACGCGCTTCGCGGCGGCGGCCCTGGCGACACGCTCTGCCCTGCGAGCGGATGGCGCGTCGCTCCGTTCCGCGGGGCGGGAGGCTGGGAAATGCTCAGGACGTCGACGCCTTGGGGCCGGGACGTGGATAGCGTGTCGCGCGCTGGGCCAGAACCGGCGGCGCGACACGCTGACCCGAAGTTCCCGACCGCGCATCTCCCTAACGCTGCCCCGGATCTGCGCGCCGCTGGTCTTTGGGTCATAACTCGGCTCTCCAGCGGCCCTTCGGGACGATGCCGGCACCTCTGGGAACGCCCTCGACGAGGCGCAGCTGCTGGAGAGCATCTGGCGGCTGGAGAACCGCCGAGGACCGACGAGCAAGCCGGGGAACCTCGAGCCTCGAACCGCTGAGGCAAAGCTCCCGACCGCAGGGCTCCCTGCTTTTCTGCGCGGGCCCGGTCGGCAGGCCTCGCGGAGCCTCTCCGCAGGACCGGAGGGCAGGAGCGCCGCCGCGGGCGCCGCCCGCGCCGCGCAGCGTCAGCCAGCGCAGCGCGCGCCGCGCAGCGTCAGCCAGCGTCCCCGCCCTCTGCTGGGGCCGCGGTCGCGTGGCCAGCACCCCAGGGGAGGGGGGAACGACACCCGGCGGCGAGCGAGGGGGGGGGGGGGGAGAAGCTCGAGATTCGAAGTCCGAGGTTTTCGGGCGCTTGCGTGGCTTCTTGGCGGTCTTCCGCTCTCGGGCTGCGTTCCAGCGGCTGCGCCCCGCCGAGAGCGTTCCCCGGGTGCCCGGGCCGTCCCGAACGGCCACGAGAGAGCCGAGCCATGACCCAAAGACCAAGCCGGGCGGCGCGGCCAGGGGGGACTGAGAAGCAGAAGGCCGCTCTCAGAAGGCGGCAGGGCCTCTCGGAAGCCCCCTGGCCTTCTGAAAAGTTTTCTGTGTCTTCGGGGAAGGCTCAGGAATCCTCCCAGAAGGCCCGAGCACTTCCGAGCCTCCTGAGAAGGCCCATCCCCCTTCTCACTTCCCCCCCCCAGACTCGCCGCCGAGACACGGTGACGGCACTGGATGAAGTCTGGGGACCCATGCCCCTGGGACTTTTGGGGAGCAAAATAACATAAACGACGCGGCGACGTGGGAAACCCATCATCGCGCTACTGCTGAAGAACCGCCGGGCCTCCGGACGATAACGACGGAGTAACACGCGGAGGGCTCCCAACGGAAGCGTACCGTTGTGGGCGACTCCGAAGGACGTGGTTTGCAAAGGGTGTGGTGTGCAACCCGCGCCTGGGGGGGGGACGCGAGGACCTCCGAACGAGGGTCCACCGCGCCTTCGGCGCAGCGCGGTGATCCCTGAGCCAACGACGCTGGTTGCAGGCAACACCCCGGCGTGGTCACACTCATTGTGGTCGCGGACGGTGACGCACTTTTGCCCTCACGAGGGATGGCCAGCCGACCACGCTGCTAGGATGCAGTCCACGCCCCACAGGCCGCTCCTGCGGTTGAGGCTGAACGTAAAGACGACCGCTCGGCCGTCGACCCGGAGCCTCCGGGCGTAGGCGCCGTCGCCGAGGTGCACCTCGCCGAGGGTGCTCCGCTTGCCGTGGCCGAGGAGGAAGCCGTACGGCCTCTGCGCCATCACAGAGAGGAAGCACCTGCGCGCGAGCAGTCGCTGCGAGGCGGGGACTTATCCAGATCCACCACCTGGGGGACCGATGCCCTGAGGCCCCAAGGAACACAGATGTGCAAGTCGGATATGCATGTATGGACGTATGTATGTGTGCATGCATGCATACATGTATGTATGTGTATGCGTATGTTGGTTTGCATGTATGGTTGTATGTATGTTTGGATGTATATATAATATATATGTGAATATGTGTGAATGTGTATGTTTGTATGTATGTATGTATGCATGCCTACATGTATGTATGTATGTATGTATGGATGGATGGATGGATGGATGGATGTGCGTATGTATGTATGCATGTTTGCATGTACGTATGTATGTACGTGTGTAGGTTGGTTTGTTTGTGTGTCTGTATATATGTATGTATGTATGCATATATGTGTGTATGTGTATGTATGTCGATAGGTAGGTCGGTTGGAAGGTATGACGGTTTGTGTGCATGTATGTATGCATATATGCATGTATGTCTGTATGTACGTATGCATGTAAGTATGTCGCCGCAACCCACACACACACGCACAAACATACGCACACACACGCACACACGCACACACACGCACAAACGCATGATTATACATGCGGGCTCCGAAGCTTAATCCCGGGTCTCCTCTTGCGACTCATCCCCCTTCCCTGTTTCCGCCTCCTTCTCCTCCTCCATCTTCTCAATTCCCGCCTGCTTCTCCTACTCCTCTTCCTCCTCCTCTCCGCCCTCCGTCTGCCTTGAAAGGAAGAGGAGGAGTAGAGGAGGGAGAGGCGCGACCTCTGAAAACGATTGGGTTTCAGGTTTTCTGTGTCCTGCCATTGGAGAGCGCTCTGCTTCTGGTTTTTCAAATTGTCGGGGGAAAACCTGAAACGATGCCTATGTGTTTCATATGTGCATGGTTGTTCTGGTGCTTCAGATTTCTGGCAACGGCAGCGCAGACTAGGTGACCTCTGCAAGCTGTCCCGTTCCCTTTGGGATCAATAAACATCTGAAACGCACAGCGTTGCAATGCTCCAGAACATCTGGAAACCACGAACACCAAGACAAACTGAAAAACAACGTTTTCAATGGCAGGATCTGGAACACCTGAACCTAGAACATGTTTTTGTCAGAGGCCTCGCCTCTCGGACCCTCTCTCTCTCTCTCTCCTTCTCTCTCTATATATATATGTAGTATGCTTCTTGGTATATAAATAGATATACATATATATATATATATATATATATATATATATGTCTCCCTCCATCCCTCTCTCTTTCTCTCTCTCTCTCTCTCCCTCCCTCGCCCTCCCTCTATTCCCCATGCCTCCCTCTCCTCCCATCACCCTCTGCCCTCCCTCCTGCATTTCCAACAGATCAACACGGTACACATTGCTGTGATTCTCCTTGCGTGGAGCCAAGCCAAACAAACATGTGAATTGCAATGTTTGGTGGTACCAAGAGGCCTACCAGACTGTCCAGGAGGGCCCCAAGTCGCCGGAAGATCGCCAAACGACGCCCAAGATGGCTTAAAGACTGTCCAAGAGGCCCCCGAGACGGCCCAAGAGAGCCCAAAAAGGCCTTCCCAAGAGGGCACCAAGAGGCCAAACTTATTGGCGTGCATTGTGTTTTTAACTGTTTTTGGCATTCTCGCCGTTTCGGCTTCGCGACGCTCCAAGACGGCCCGAGGAGTCTCCAAGACCGCCCCAACACGGCCCAAGAAGCCCCAAAGAGGCTCTCTAAGACGGCCCAAGAGACGGCCTAAGAGGCGCCCCCAAGACGGCTCGAAGAGAGGATCAAGAGGGGGGGCACGATCCGAAAATTCGAGCCTTCCGCCTCAACAGTGTCCCAGGATGCCCCGAGAGGCCCCCATGAGGCTCCAAGAGGCCCCCACACGGCCCCAAGAGGCCCCAAAGATGACCGAATGAGTCCCAAAGAGGACCCAGAACAGCTCCCTAGAGACCTCAAAACTGCCTCCAGGAGGCCCTGCAGAGGCCTCGACGAGATCCCAAAGATCCTCCAAGAGGCCTCAGACCCAAGACCCAGGCACGGTGGCGGGATTGGCCGACGACCATTATATATATATATATATATATATATATATATATATTAAAAAAAATCATGTATATATACATGGATATGAGGTTTTGGGGTGAGATCGAATTATGTTGATCCCATCAAACGTAAGGACTACATCTCAGAAAAAAGTCCGAGCACCCAGGAGTCCCGAAAGAGTGTCTGCCCGACATGCTAGCGAAGTGTCGAACGAGTATCGCCTCGCAAGGCCCGACACGTGAAAATCCTCCAGTTTCGGAACTGTCCTGGTGCTCGAAATTAGCTCTGGTGGTCAAGGCTGAAGTAGGATGGAACACCATAAAGATCGACATGGAACAGAACCCCCCACCGGGAAATCGGTTTGGGTTCCAAATCGTGCGTGCGGGCGAGGCGAAACTGTTTGCGGACGACAAGAATTAACTCGTCGCTGTTGGGGCGAAACCGGGCCAAATGATGCTGCCCTCCCTGGTGGGCCAGCGGTGGCCAGGGGTGTCCCGCCGGTTGGCTGGCGGTGGCTTGGGGGTGTTTCGATGGTATCCCGACGGTGCCCCGATAGTGTGCTTATGGTGTCCCGATGGTGTTCCGATGGTGTCTCGATGGTGTCCCGATGGTGTCCCGATGGTGTCCCGACGCTGTCCCGATGGTGTCCACATGGTGTCCCGATGGTGTCCAGATGGTAGCCGGATGGTGCCCCGATGGTGTCCCGATGATGTTATTGGTTTGCCCCCCCAGTTCCTTCAGGTGATCCTCCCGATGGTGCATCGATGGTGCCCCGATAGTGTCCCGATGGTGCCCCAACGGACTCTCAATGGGAATTGTCGTCAGTTGTTTAATTAGATTCCCCCCACAACCTCCTTATCACCCGAATGGTGGGCACATGCGTACATATGTGTACCTATACATATATAAACACACATATCTATATATGTGTACATACCATGTGGTTATACTTATGCATGTCTATAGGCACGCGCTTGTGTATAGACTTACAAAGTCATGAATATGCAACTGGGCTCAACCCGTACATCTATGTATGTGTTATGTATAAGTGTGAACATACGCACATATGCACGCGTTCAGGGGTGAAGCCAGATGCAACCACATACATGGGCGGATGTCTATCTATTCCGTGAGTATATATAAGTACATGTATATACACGTATGCACATCTACACACATGCACTTACACATGCAAATACACATTCATACATACATACATACATATATATATATATATATATATATACGTATACGGATTTAAATAGCCACAGCTATGTAACGAGTTATAGGCATGCGTATCTCTAGAAGCCCCTAACCACATCCACATCCATATCCACCGCATGCTGACCTCCAGGAAGATCCATGCCACAGGCGGTGGATATGGATGAATCCCAGCCTGGCAAGCTGCGCGCGAGCAGTCGTCGGCGGCGCGCACAAGGGACGGCGCAAGGGGGGGCTCTCTGCTGAGAAGGGCTGAGGGGCGTCTTGCAAGGCAGTGGGCTTTCTTAGAAGCCCTGCAGGCTCACAAGAAGCCCTCTCAGAAGCCTCAGGGCCTTTCTGAGACTGCCCTTGCCTTCTAAGAAGCCCCCCGCGGTCTCAAAGGCTGCCCCCCTCACACCTTCCCCCCCTGCTCGCGCCGCCCACATCGGGGACGCCCTGCCCTGGCTCAGCGTCAGCCCGGGCCAGTCCAGGCCACGCCGCGAACCCTGGCCAGCCGCACACTAGCACCCAAACTCGGGTCGGCGGAACGATGGGGGGGGTCCGCTCCACGTGGCCGCTCCCGGAAGCCAGGAACGTGCAAACGTTGCCGTCCGGCTGCTACTCCCGCAGGCCCTCCGCCGAGATTCCGCTGGCGGGCCCGCCGCCGATGTGGTTTGCTTCCTCGGGCTCCCGCCGGCCCTCCGCTGGCTTCCGCCGGAGGCGAGCCCCGCCGCAGGCGAGGCCGTCTCTGGCTCGCGCCACGTGGCTCTCAGACTCAGGGCGGCCATGCGGAAGCGGCGGATCCCCCTTTTGAGCGTCGACCCCCGTGGCCTGCGCGCCCCTGGTAGCACACCTGGTGTGCAACGCCGGCGGCGCTCGCAGAGGTGAGGGCGGGGACCGCGAGGCTTCGGGGCGCCTCTGGGCCCCCGGGTCGTGCCGCGGTCGGCACATGCCCGCCCCCCCCCCCCCGAACCGCAGGCCACAGTATCCCCGACGTGGCACAAAACGGCCAGAGGGCCCGCAGGCGCACACCTGAAGTCCGCGATGTCGTACGACCGGGGCGTCATGTTGAAGAAGTCGTGCTGCGCCGCAAAGGGGTCGATGTGCGACGCCTGGTCCGCCACCGCGCCCTCGGCACGTCGCGCCGGTGTTTCGAAGCCTCCTGGCTGTCGGGCACACCCAGGCCCCCGACGTCATGATTTGTTCATAACGTCGACCCCCAGCGGTCTCGACCCATTCCCCGGGACCGGCCTTTCGTCCTGCGGCCTCTTATGACGGTCCAGTGGGCTGGTAAGGGCCCCCCAGAGGCCGAACACAGCGAAACACTCCCCGTCGTGATGTTTTCAAACCTCGTGGGGGTCTGGGCAGCTCAGTCCAGACCCCGTCCCCCGAGAGAGCGCGCCCGCCTCGTCCTCCTCGTCTTCCTCCTCCTCCTCCTCCTCATCCTCTTCCATCTCGTCGTGCTCCTCCTTCCTCCTCCTTCCTCCTCCTCCTCCTCCTCCTCCTCCTCCTCCTCCGCCTCCTCCTCCTCCTCCTCCTCCTCCTCCTCTCCTGGCGCTGCGATCTTTCCACAAGGGGCGCTCTCGCCCAATTCTGGGCCCCGGTGGCCCTCGCAGACCGATGCGGATCGAAAAGTGGCGCAGACAGGCGGGCTCCGTGGCTCCAGTCGTGATGTTCTGCGATGTTGCCTTCTTTTGCAAAAAGGCCAACAAGCAAGACAATGCAATTTTGTGTCAACGCGTCTTGCGCCCGAGGGGCTTTCCTGATAAAGTGGATGGCGGCCTCGGGAAGGCTGCAGAAAGCCACAGTACCCCTCACAGAGACAGCCCACGATGGGCTGGAGAAGGCCAAGACAGTCCGAGAATTTCACAGACGACCCAAGGCCGCCCCAAGAAACAAGAGGGATGACTCCCGGACGGCCCTCAAACCCGCTCCGACGGCCCCTAGACGGCTCAGCGGACCCCCGTCGGGAAAGCTCGGTAGAACCATCGCGCCCAAGAGCCCCAAGACTTTGGCCTGTCACAGCACCAGCATGGTGGTGGCGGGATCTGCCGCAGGCAGGTGGAAACAGAGCGAGCACACCCTCGCATCCAGGATGGCTCCGTGGTTCGCCTGCCCAACTGAAGGCCAGTGGCCAAGCACACAGGCCCAGAAGGCGGGCCAACCGGCCCAAAGAGCGGGGCAGAGACCAAACGACAACTCAACGACCAAGGGACCCAGACCCCGACGTCATAGATTTGTCACGACGTGGACCCCTAGCGGTCTAGACCTTGTCCCTGGGACAGGCTTCTCGTCCCGAGCCGGCTTTTGGCGATGCCGCGGGCAGGCGAGGGCCCCCAGATGTTGAAAAAGGTAAAGGACCTCTCGCCATGCTTGTCTCATGGCCCGAGGGGGTCTGCGACAAATGGCCTCCTCAAACCAAAGAGCCGTCCGAGGCGGGGGCAAAAACTGCCGGAGCTGACTGCTGCATTACCTCTGAGGGATGCGTGCAGCTCGTCTGCTCGGCCCTTGCGGCCGCCTGCCTCCCGCCTCGCCTTCCCCCCCGCACGGGCCCACCTCGCACTAGCGCTGCCCGTCACTGCTGCACCGCGCGCGGCCGTGTCTGTGTATAACCTGTGTTGGTTGGACACACAGACAAACGTTACAAACAGACACGCGAACATACATATCATATGCACATACACATACACTTGTTGCGTCCGCGGCTAGGCAGAGTGACTGCGCTGGCGATGTCACACACACACACATACATGCCTGTCTACGTACCTACGTACCTAGAGCCTAGTCGGATACATCACGCTGTAGCATATCACCTGATGACGTATTGTACTGAAGTGTACGGTGGTCTCGTATACTACACAACAGCACATTACAATCAATAGCGAGAGATGGCATTCCACTGAGGCTGTAAATATCCGCCACCCTGCCGCTGGGCACGGAGTGGGCGCGTCCTCAGGTCCGTCACCCAGAGAAGGAGGAGGAGGGGGAGGAGGAGGAGGAGGAGGAGGAGGAGGAGGAGGGAGGAGGAGGAGGGAGGAGGAGGAGGAGGAGGAGGAGGAGGGAGGGGAGGAGGAGGAGGAGGAGGGAGGAGGAGGAGGAGGAGGAGGAGGAGGGGGAGGAAGGAGGAGGAAGAGGACATAGTGAGGATTCCAAGGCGCTGACCGTGGACATCGGATGGCAAATAGCGTCCATCGCTCTGCTGTAGCTGTGAAGGTACAGTATGAGGGGTGGGCGGATAAGATAGGATAAGATCGATGTAATGATCTTTCCAGCACATAGCGAACACTCGCGGTGTCCGGGCAAATAGGGCGCGCGTGCCTTGAGCCCAAGGCAGCGGCGCGCGAGCTATGCTCCCGATACTGTAACATCTCCCAAAGAGCTACCCTTAAAGTCGGGAGGGGAGGAGACGGAGAGCATAGTCGCACGCAAAGATCGCGCGCACGACTGTTTGCAAAGAAAAGAAAACAGTGCGTACAGTCTGGTCAAACACCAGACTGTAAGGCGAGTTTCCTCGCAAAGTATTTCACGCAAATACAGGACAGCCCCTTCAAACAATGAAGGGCTATCGGCTTAGTTAGAGGTAAGCCAAAATTAGGCCATACCTCACCAAGCAAATGTGTATTAAGGCAAAGAGCCTGAGTTGTACGAAGCCGGCTCGTTGCCAGGCGTGAAATATAAGGCTCGTTTCCGAGCAGCTAAAGGGGCGCCTTTATAGTAGGCGCCCGTGCTGGCAAACTGGACCGCGAGGGCAACAAGGACAGACTAAAATTGATTAGACTTAGGTTTGTCTCTGTCCTCGGGACCCCGAAAGGGAACAAATTGCTTCACGTCATACTTAAATGACTGAGTGCCTGACATCACTTCCAGAAGCAGCTCCCGATCGATGCTTCCCGTTGTATGCCCATCTGCGGTCATATCCCTAGTATCACACCATTGCACGTTATGTACTATACCTATATCCATAAGCTCACGTATCCAACTGATATGTCCAAGCAGAGTCCGTTCTGTGGGTATTTTGAGATCCCTGCTTGATAAAGATTTGTAGACGGACTCAGCGTCTATGGTCAGAGAGACTTTGATAGCAAGGCCTCCAACTTCACGCATATCTCGTAGTTGTCGTGGAGTCAAGGCCCCTGCCTTAAGCTCATGGAGAGTAATGAGCGTAGGGTAACACTCATCAAGGTTATGTGCGGCTGCAAGTGCCTCCGCAGCATAACTGGACCTCACCTGTAATCGGTGTGATTTGCATAGTCCGTCACAGAGGTGAACGACGGACTTGCCTTGAGGCGAGTTTCCTCGCCGTAGTACGTTGGCCCCGCGTATGCCGTAGCCCTTGGTCTCGTCATCCTCCTCCCCGGTAAGCTTCCGATATCCCGAATCGCTATGGATGTCGACTTCATTCGTCGGCTTCATCCGAGGGAAGGTGATACGTTTCGGACTGCTGATCAGCTTTCGCGTCACAGCATTCAAACGTCTGACTTGTAAATTGGTGGGCTCTTGAATTTTCTGAAGAGAGACCACATATACCATAAGCCAGATTTGAGTAAGAAGGGCATAGGCGAGGGCTCCTCGCAGGCTGACGAACATGTCGGCAATAAGTTTCGTGGCTTTGGCGTCGGCCGCCGCTCCTGTAAGTTCTGGATGCGTGATGGGACGTAGTTGTTTGATATACTCGTCCTGGTCCATGATCACATCTCCCTGATCATTCTTAGTGTAGCGGACGGCACAGTTCGTATATGTGTGCTTGTTGAGCTTGCATTTGCCAAAAACCTTTTCGACACGTTGTACATAGTCGTCGATATTTTTCTCTAGACCTGTCATATTAATGTCATCGACATGTTTTGCAGTCAGAAGATCTTGGCTGAATTCAAATTCAGGATCGTAACTAGTCGGTGTAAGTCCTATAGCTCGTGTGGTCGTACGAAGTTTGAGAGAGAACGCTCTTGGGGCGTCCTTAGTACCCGTTCCTGGTTTGAGGCATCTAAGACAGTGTCGACTTTCGTCGTAGGATGAGAAGCCGGGTAGGGTACGAAGTACCTGAGCGCTTCCTGGTGGAAGAGTAAAGCAGACCATGCGAGTTTCCTCGCCGGTGGCATGGGCAAGTTCCTCGTAGGTCAAACCTTTCAGGAGCGCCTTATCGATATCCATGGATGCTAAGATCCACTCTGGATGACATGCCGCTTCACTTGCCAAGAGTCGTTGAGACTGCCTTCGGGCGGTTCCCGAGAATGTTTCCACATCAAAGGCCTCAGTACCCATAAATCCACGAAGGACCAATCTGAGACGAATGGTTTTAACGTTCTCGGTGCCCATCTTTACGAACTTCCACTTGTATACATATCTGGATGTCATGATGTTGGAAGCTTTGGATAAGTCGTACATCTCAAAGCATCGGTTATCAATCCAGATCTTGAGCTCAGTATATAAGGCTTCACTAACCTCCTTTGGATGTGCTGCTATGTCGGCTTTGGTCAGTAGGTCGTCTTCTTTGACAACCACAACACGTTTAGCAGCATTGGATACATATACTCTCATCGTTGCGACCATATCGGTATCGAGCTGTGCAAGTGGGGTCTGATCCAACACTATTTTTGACATTTCTGATGTAAAGCATAGTTCAACATAGGGACCATATTCATCACTGTCTAGGGAATAGCTCTCGTCGTTTGTGTTCGAACAAAGAGATACTAGACAAAACTCACATGAGTTAGGCTCGTCTCCGAGCATATCTGATGATGTAATATCATCTTCGTCCGCAAATGCTGAAACCAAAACGCATTGGTCAGGCAGCATAGTTGTTGGGACGCAATAGAGGTAATCATCTGTGATCGTCGTAGGATGAAGGTCCATACGTAGTTCGTCGTACCACTCTTCCAGCATCATGGCTTCGATATTGTGTTCCTCATTTTCCTCATAGATTGTCGACAGACGGCCTTCGCTAGGCGATGAAGCATCTGGTGTGTCTGGAGAAGGCCTGTTTCCAGGCGACTCGTGTTCTCCAGACGTGTTGCTTGGATGCTGATATTTAGCCAGGTCATCGTGAAATCCTAAGGAAGGGACACGTGAAGTCAAGCATTGAATAAGTCTGGAGTGAGTGCTACCAGTAATCTGAGAGATGTTTAGGCCGGTGCCCACACATTCATAGTAGTGGAACGCCGGGCTAATGTCATTGTCATAGTGGATCAGCGTAGACCCGGTGGCGTACTTTACTGCAGGTAGGCTTGACACACTCTTAGCCAATCGAACTGCTACTACATGTTCCACTCTGAAGTAATTTCGTACGAGATACTGTAGTGCTAGGTGTACGCGCGGGTGAAACTTGCTATCGTCTGACAGGTTAAGGTTTCCCTTGTAGTCGGGAATATACCCGAAAACTTTGGCAGGTTTCCCTGCGCTGAGATGTGCCACATAGGCAAGGACGGTTTGCATGGCCATGTTATCCATGCCAAGTTCCCGTGTGAGGAGACATTCGATGTATAGTGTGTGACGAGCATCAGGATACATCACAATTACCTCACGAGATCCTGCCTTGACAACAATATGTCCTCTTTCAGGCACGTTTCGGATCACCGGGAATGGGCCGTTCCAGCCTCCATGGTCGTCCTTGGTGGCAGTAGGTCGGTGGTAGTCGACCAAATCCCCTGATGAGTAGAGGCGAGCACCATCAGGAGTCGTCTTAGCCCTAAGAGCCCGATTTGTCTTAGCTACAGCAGTAGCCTGAGTTATGGCTTCGAGACTGACTTCCCTTACACGACGTTCTCGTTCGTGTCCTGAAGTCTCGGGTCCCTTGGGAAAGTCAAGGGTATCGAGATCAGGAAGGAAGGAGGGCTGACGTCCTGTGTGTGCCTGATATGGCGATACTCCGTTATAAAACGTAAACGCATTAGTAACGAAGATGCCTTCCGCCAATACTCTAGTGAATACAACAGGGATGTTGTGTCTATTCAATTCTTCCTCAATCATGTGGAGGACGCCTCTGAGAATGCCGTTTCGTGACTCAATTGAAGTCGCGTGTTGGCCCGGTGCTCGGATACGAAGTTCCGTGCCCTTATTGGCCATCATGCTTTTAGCGGCCTCATTATTCAGGGCGCCTTCTCCATCTGAGTATAAAACTTTGAAGGGTCCGTGATAGGCAATCCAGCAGTAGTGGTAGGCATCGATGATTGCGTCGCGTTCTCTGTCGGAAATTTCAAGGCCTGCTGCCAGGCGAATACAACGATCCATAATATGAAATATGGTCCGTTTCTTGTAAAACATGAGGTCCATTTCCCCTTCATCGAGCCAGTTACCAGGGAGGCTTACCGATGGTAATGTCGAGTTTCCTGGACGTTCCCATGCTCTACATTCCCGACAGGTGTCGCATATTTCCTTGATCATGTTCAGTCGAACGTTATCAAGCCCCACCTTTTCGAGGATTAGCCTCATCTTTGGCTCCTTCGCATGATACCATCGCAGATGCAGTTTTCGGAGTTCCTTTTTCACAACATGGGGTTCGTGACTACGGAGACTCTGTAGACTGTGTTGGATGTCAAATCTCGTCCAGTCGGGTAGTCGTGGAGCCCCAGAGCCGGTGGAGGCAAGAGGGTTCCTTGTAGCTCTGCGTAG